GGCCATCGGGCATACCGGGCAAATGCCCGGTGTACCGTGATGGTCATGGGCCGAGGCCGTCAGGGAAGATCACAGGATCTCCCCTGTTGGCCCATGCAGGGCCGGCACTATCCGAGGGATTCACCTCCACTACGACCACCGGGGATTCAAGGGATTCCCCTCTATGTCCCCTCCCCAGCCAAAGGTAAGAAGGGAGGGGATATATAAAGTATAGATTTTTTTTTAAAATTCCCAGCGTTGCTGCAGGAGGCTTGGGCTCGATGGGGGAGTCTGCACATCCTGGTGCTCCACCTCGGGGGCAACGATTTGGGGTCTGTTCCCGTGCTAGAACTGGCTCGGGTTTTCTGCTCGGATCTCCGCTGGCTTTCTGCTTGGTTACCTGGCATGAGGATCCGGTGGTCAGGCTTCATTGGCGCCACTTACAGGGCTCGGAAGAAACTTAATAGGCTGGTAGGTCTGCCTGTTGCTGAGCTGCATGGGTTCCTCATTAGGCATCCGTGCATTTCTGCCGACCGGGTTGAGTTTTTTCAGCCTGATGGGGTCCACCTTAGCGCTGCTGATCTGGACCTTTTTCTGGCTGACTTACATGAGGCTCTGGTGCCCGAGGTCTAACATGGGCCGCAAAAAATAAATAAATATTATTTTATAGGCTGTTGGTTGGCGGCAAGAGATTGGATCTTTTATGGCGAGAGGGTGCAGCTTTAGACCGTGGTGCAGAGAGAAAGGGCAAGTGTGACGGCAGCAACCGGCTGTGGTGCCTGTGACGAGAGCAACCTCGCCACATTGCATTGGAGAAGCCTGGTTGCTCGCCTGCTGCCTTTGGATTATGGCTCCATGTTAAAAGACTTTATTTCCCCTGCAGAAAAGACTTATTCGTGCTTTTCTGCCCGGTGTTCGGTAGATTCAATCTACCGAACAACCGTACGAATGACTAGACCACCTGGGAGCTGGAGTGTGCCGGCAATTAGCCTCCCAGAAGCTGCGGTTAACCGCAGCCTAATTGACGAATACTGGGTGGCCGCCATTCGTATACCGAACACGAGGTCGCGGCCATTTTAAATACGCGAACGCACAGCGGTGTTCGACGCCTAACTCATGGAACTAAAAATGGACAAAGTTTGGCGCGAACACCGCTTAACCCGCCGACCTCCCTTCTTGTTCGGTGGAAGTGCACGAACGGCCCGGTATTCGGTAGTTGTACCTGACTGCACTATACCCCAGATAGGAATCCCATGGAGCTCATTCGTATGAGAATTGACTTTGTGCAGAGTATCCAGCAGGGAATAGAGAGCCCAGTCTCCTTTCCCCAGCAGCAGGACTCTGTATTGGGAGCGGAGACAGTCGGTCTCCCTCCACAGAGGATGAAAGTATGTATGGAAGAGGAGCTTGCTACCACCTCTCCCCAGCGGCAGATCATTAATGGGCAGGGAATAGAGAGCGCAGTCTCCTTTCCCCAGCGGCAGAGTGTTCTATCGGGAGAGGAGCCTGTTACCCCCTCTCCCCAGCGACAGCTTAGAGTATCCAAAGGGGAGACAGTCGGTCTCCAGCAGCAGGACTGTGTATCTAAAGGGGAGACAGTCGGTCTCCCCCTCCAACAAGCAGGCTTCAACCAGGCTACCCTCCCAGTAGCGCTGGCAACAGGGCAGAGTGACGCTGGTCTCTGCCCACGCAGCACCCCACCAAGTCAGCGTACCCGTACCCAGCACAGCCGTGGTGAGGCACCTGGACATGGACAAGCTTCTCCTCTACCCAGGTGCAGTAACTATTTATTGTGGGTGGGCTGTGCTGTTGATTGTGTTTTGTGAGTGGGCTGCTGGACTAACAAGGGCACTGACTGGCAGGAGGTCAGATACCCTGTTAGTCTGTTTGGAAAAGGGGAGAGATGTGACGAGACCAATCTCGCCACATTGCATTGGAGAAGCCTGGTTGCTCGCCTGCTGCCTCTGGACTATGGCCCCTTTTAAAAGACTTTATTTCGCCTGGAGAAAAGCTGTATTCGTGCTTTTCTGCCAGTTGTTCGGTAGATTCAATCTACCGAACAACCGCACGAATGAATAGACCACCTGGGAGCTGGAGTGTGCCGGCAATTAACCTCCCTGAAGCTGCGGTTAACCGCAGCTTAATTGACGAATGCTGGGTGGCCGCCATTCGTATCCAGAACACGAGGTCGCGGCCATTTTAAACCTACAAATGCACAGCGGTGTTCGCCCCTATTTTCATGGAACTAAAATCGGACACAGTTTTGCGTGAACACCGCTGAAGCCGCCGACCTCCCTTCTTGTTCGGTGGAAGTGCACGAACGGCCCGGTGTTCGGTAGTTTTGGTTGAATATGTTATACCCCAGATAGGAATCCCATGGAGCCCATTCGTTTGAAACTGACTGTAAAGACTTTGGCTCCATGGCGATTAAACTGTATTCATGTGGTCTGAGCGCCATTCGCTTAATAATGTGCGCTCAGACCTGAGCTATCTGGGGACATGTTAAATGTATGTCTTTACTGTAACCGTTCCAACAGTATTTTAATAGTAATTCTTATTTTAGTATCCCCACGTGCATAATGGCGAATTACTTCTCAATTATCTCCAGGGCAGAGGGGAGGAAGCCAGGATGCATTGTGGGAATATAATGTGACTGTGTGTCCTATTTTGCTGATTGTCTGTCTTTTGTCACAGTCTCCCATTTGGTCCCCTAGGGGAGTGTCCACCAGGTGGGAGACATGCATAAATACTGGGCAGGTAGTCCTCATTAAACAGACCACTGCTTGACCCACAACACGGAGCCTTGTCTCGTCTTTGGGGGGATTTACTGAATGCTGATAGAGACTGATTGCTAGGAGTGTAAGCCGCTTGGATGCTTTTTCTATTCGTCTGCTATCAGCTATTCGTATGGTTCCAGTTCGTGAGTTTGGAGTGTTATATTGTATGCCGTTCGGGAGATTGGAGCATTCCCTTATTTGCGGTTCGGGAGTTTGGTGTTCTACAGTAGCTGTGCCTGCATCTCTGAAAGGGGACGATCGCCTAAACGGTTTTAACCCCTTGTGTGCTGAAACGGTCTGTTACAGTGCCTGTCTGCAGTCTGCGTTCAAGGTGGCCGTGATGAATATTTTTTTGCCTCTGCTTGGGCGGATGCAACGGGTGCTCCGCTACAGGATTAGGTGAGCCGCATCCTCCAGTGGACTGAAGAGTTTACCCTTCAGCACCGACACCCTAGCTAAATTTGGTTACTAGTTATGTTTTTTTTTCTGCCATGATACCATAGTGATCTATGCAATAAATGCGGCCAGCAATGGCTTTACCTCCCAACATGGTGTATGTGTTATTTATTTCAAGGGGAATGTTGGGTAAGGGAGGGTGTTATAGGGTTAAGTATTTGTCTAAAATTAAGGGACATAGGAGATTACCCATTATCTCTTGTGTAATTGACTTCCAAGAATCGCTGGGCTTCTGTTGTTTACAATCACTGTTGTCAGATTGTTGCAAGCTACAGCAAAGGTTTTCAAGATTTTTCAAGTTTTGGGACTAAAATCTATCTGGAAGAAACTTATTTTGAGTTGTTCGGTGTGTTCAGAAGGTCATGGGAGCATTCATGTGAACAGCTCAACTGTAAGGACCAAACTCAGCAGGAGGAACATATTCCATTTCTAAAGACAATATACTTGCAAACATCAAGAGAATTGAAATATGAACACATTGGAAAAAAGTGGCTTCTGCTCAGAAAAGTAACAGTATCACTTTTCCTCTCTGAAGTCTGTTATATACCCGAGGTTTGATATGAAAAAAGTATTTTTATTGATTGGCCTAATGAAGCAGAAAGCCAACAGATGGTTGGATGGGTTGCAAGTCTTTTAAAAGCTCCCTGAATTCCAGGTAAAAGAGCTGGGACATCGAGCAAAACCTTCTACTTCATTACAATTGTTATGCGAAGAAGCACAACAGATAACTGGGGAACAAGCAAAGATTAAACATGTCGTTCCTTCATCCTTCTGCACATCAAGCAATCCATGGAAAGCCAAATGGCTCTTCGGCATGCTTTAGTAAACTCTCTCAGCTTCTTACTCCATCTAACTGTAATTGGCGATCATTGCTGCATCTTATGTATGAATTTTAAAGCTCCTGGAGACAATTTCTACCATAATTTCTCAATAATATATTCATGTTTTACCAGTGAAAGAAAGGGTTAATAGAAAGTGGAGTTACCAGAAACTCCAAACATTTAAGAAAATTTAAATAAGATAGGCGTAAACATAAAGAACTACCGTACTTTTCAGAATATAAAACACATTTTTGTTTTCTTTTAACCCCTTAAGGACCAAACTTCTGGAATAAAAGGGAATCATGACACGTCACACATGTCATGTGTCCTTAAGGGGTTAAACCCCAAATTTGGTGTAAAAAAAACTGCCTGCGTCTTATATTCCGAGCGTCACCTAGTGCAATATCCGGGTGATTGGCAGCAGGAGGCTGTACAGAGCTAAGAGGATAAGAGACAGTCAAGGGAGGTAAGACATTCAACTGGTTGTTTTATTTTTTTCTTCTGAATTTCCAAATAAAATATATGGGTCTGTCTTGTTTTCAGGTGCGTCTTATATTCTTAAAAATACAGTATTTAAGTTTACTATTCACATATAATGTAGACAAGCTTAATGAGCTTTTTCATTCTAAGCTGCCATCAAAGTCTGTTTCTATAATTATAATAATAATAATAATAGTAGTACTTCATCTAAGCTTAGCAAATTAAAACAAAATGTGTATACTGTTTCATTATATACTACCCAACAAGACAGTAAACAGAGTGTCTTATGTACATAGCATACATAATTTATGTACATAAAGTTTCCATGACTGTACATTTCAAAACTGTCTCGAAAGATGTGCCAGTAGACTTAGAAAGCATTAGATAGTGGTCCCAGTTTTCTAATCTCCCCTCCTTCCCCCTCCAATGTCAACAGTATGTGCCTCTCCTTCAATGAAGAAATAAAGGTATTTTTTCCTAAATATTGTGTGTTAAGGCTACCTACCCTTTTTTTTGGTGTTCGCCGACTCAGGTCTGATCAGCACAACTGGGTTCAATATTGGCCAGTGCCAACATGAATTTGCCATATCCACTGCAAAGTTAACCTGTAACCATCAAAGTTGTGTCAGGCATAGAATGCAGTCACAGAATGCAGTCAACAAAAGACCAGTGGTGGGCTATATTATAAATTGTTGCAGAAGCTGCATGTTAACCATGATCACCATGGATAAAAAGTTCTACTAAGTGCCCAAGGACACTGCGCCATTAATTGCTAACAAGTTGACAAACAAGTTGAGAACTTATGTCAATATATCTGACTTGGAAAAAAAAATAGACTCCCATTTATGTTGTCTACTCTAAATTTCAAAATTTACTATTAAAATGATAGTCCCCAGGAGTGTTTTTTTAATGTGGAAATAGGCAAAAAAAAAATGTAATTCCCAGCCAGCCAAATAAATAAACCACAAGATAATTCAAACATGTAAAAAAAAATTAAATTGTTCGTTTTAATTCGATTTTTTTTTGTCCGTTAAGTTTCAGATTTTTTATTTTGTAGGAAAAAAAATAAGTTCAAATGTTAACAAAAATCTGTGAAATTGCTTGAATGAAGCAAGTGATATGTTCAAAGCAAAAAGTGACCCGTCCGTATTTTTTTCCCTGAAGAATTAATGAAATGATATGCAGGATTCGGACCCATGCTGTGGATCTGTAATTCATTCATCTTGATGAGAACATCAAGCTTCAGTTTCCTTGCAAATCTTTTTTTAGACACCAAAAAATCTTAATATCATATTAAATTTCTAACTTTCAATAACTAGTAATTTAACTTTTTTTTCCCCACACCTGCTATGTGGCAAATGAGTTCACAGCGTCTGAAGATGCATTATTTTCCGAGTGATTTCATTTACCAAAGAGTTCCACTGGCAATGTGATCCTACAAGTACAAACTGCAGCAGGGAAAGTACGCCTGCACATATCGCTGGGCACTCTGCGCCGCAAGCATTTATTAATGAAGTAGAACAAACTTTGTTTATTGCATAACCATTATACAGTGACATTAGTGAGTCAGCCAGCAGCGATGGCCAGCAATGCCATCACATGAAGGGAGACAGAAGAATATCTGGATTTGACTGGGATTATTGAATTTGCCTAGTAATATTTATGCACAGCGTATGGCATGTGCCTAGCGCACAGAGTATGCATAGTGCAGGAGTAAGCAACCTTTGGCATTCCATGTGTTATTATAATGTAGTATTGTAATATTGTATTTTTGGAAGTTAACTTTAAAACATAAGACAAATACTCAGAAGTACTTGCCAATAACTTTGTATGTGAATGATGATATGACTGTCTCTGAAATAAAGAATTTAAGGGATCCTATAGTGCCAGGAAAACAATCCCATTTCCTGGCACTTTAGGTTTAATAGGTGCCTCCCCTCCCCCTTCAGCCACTTACCTGAACCCAGCGCCGATGTCCCTCAGCGCTGGGTCAAATTTCGCCCACGCTCCTCCCCCGCCATCAGTCTGCGGGGGAGACCTAATGCGCATGCGCGGATATTAAATAATGCTTTTCAATGGGGAAAATCTGACGCTTGAGGTCCTCATGCAGAGCGTGAGGACGTCCAGCGTCAGATAACGGACCAAAAGTCCGTTTGGATTCCGGAAGCCCTCTAGTGGCTCAGTGACAGCCACTGAGGGCAGACTTAGAGCTGCAATGTAAAAATGTAAATTGCACTAAGTGCAATATGGACACAGCACCCAGACTACTTCAATAAGCTGAAGTGGTCTGGGTGCCTATAGTGTCACTTTAAAAAAAAAAAATTGTAAATCATTAAACTGAATTAACAATGGTAAAAAATACTGAACACGCTCTGTTAATGCCTATGCTTTTGATAACATAGTTTTTGTTATTTATTGAGAGTTATCTATAGTTTATCTTTATGTCCAGTGTATCAGTAATGCATTGTACGTCTACCGTGTAAGCCCAGAAACTTGCCGGCTAAGCTTATTTTAAACTATATAGCCTTCTGAAACGACAAAGCCTTATCTAGATTAAAATGTCTTTTTAATCTCAGAAAGCAATGGCAAAGTAGTATGAGTTGATTATTTCCAGAAATGGGATGGGGAAGGGGGGTACAGTAAAGTTTCTGTTGTGACACTTTCTATCTCCGATGGCTAAAAAGCTCATACAATGGAAAAGCGATGACTGCCCCTGGATGTGTTAGCAGATCCAAATCAACATCATAATCACAGTAACTTTGACTTACCCCTGGTCCCTGTCAGACAAGAAGATAGAACTTTCATATCATAAAATGGAAGAAATAGATAAATCTATGGTTTTAGCAATAAAATTGACACCCCTGTATACGCCTGATTAGTTCGTTTGTATGAAGACTCCATGTGTAAGAAAGATCAGATTGACTCTGGTGTACCAAAAAAAAATGTCAATCAAACTTTAAAATTGCATCGTAATAATATGTTCTTGTTTTTAATAGGACTGATATACAATTTAAATCACGAGCTTACATGAAATGTTTCCTCACTTCCAGTGTCTTGCTTAAGATAGAATCAATAGAGAAGGTATCTCTTAAAAGTTTGTCTCTAAAATTTGATATTAGTTCAATTAAATAAGATATATCTGTATATTTTAAAAAAATATTTCTTATTCACTGAGTTTCCATAGATATTCCAGACAGCTAATATTTTTTTTATATATAATTTTTTAATCCAGACAAGGTAGAGACTAATCCTTCCCTTTGTGTACAGTAGTAGGTTTTGGGTATGGACTGATTAACTATTGGGCAAAAACCTTGATTTCTGCTT